CGGCGCCGAGTCAAGCCGAGGAGCGAACTCGCGAGCGCATGCGCGCTACGGCGCCGCGCTTTCCTGCGTCGTCGCGAGGAACGTCGCCACTCGCCATGCGTTTACCGCCCACTACCATATACGGCCTCTGCGTACGCGCTAGCATCGAGCGAGAGCGAGAGAAACGGAAAGAGAAAGGGAGAAGGAGATAAGCGCCATACCATCGTGTCGCGGAGTTGGATAATTCAGGCCCGCGCGTCCACGGGCCAACGCACCGTCCGTTTCTCTTAACGCGAGGTTGCGTGTATGCGTGAGGCGAATTATTGTATCTTTTTTTTTCAGATATGTGATCTTTCACTATCACGAATTATCTCGCGGAATGTCTATATTTTATGTCGAAAATGTCTTTGATTTCGGAGTCAGCTGGAACGCCACGAAACTCCCGAAGGAAAGATCACTTCCTCTAAAATCTTTCCGGTGATCTTTCCCAGTCACGGGTTTCCAATTACAATTTTTAATCTTGGCCAATCTTGGCTCTGGATGCACGCGACAACATGCGTGCGCATGCAAACTTGTTAAGTCTACATCAGATTTTTTAAGAATATATCTAGTCTATTTATTTTTAAATATCTTTGAGATCGCTGAATAGGAAAACGGAATCGGAATATAAAAATTTAAAGTCCATTATAGTAGATACAAAAGAATGAAATATTTAAGATATAAAAGAATAAAATTCTAATTAAATTATGTATTACAGGATTTTTTAGAACTGCGCTGGATAAAAATATGATAGATCTAATATGGCGAGTACAAAAACTAAAGTTCCTTCCAATTTTTATAAAAATTGTTACGTTTTCAAAAGATTATAAAATACAAACTCAACTTGTTAAACGAAAAAGATATAATAAAACATATTTATAAAATTTGAATAATCGTCACAATCGAACGTTTCTCTCGCATAATGCAAAAAAATCTTTCAAAAAATTTATATAGTTCGAAAACTTTCGAAGCTTATTACGCGAATAATTTTTGCATTCTATATAATAGCACCTATTGAACTATTTTTCATTAAAGTAATCCTCTTAAAACGAGTTCAGTTTTACGATAATAACTCAATATTGACGGATTCTTTTAAATTATATATTAGGACATACATAAGTATATACTTATTTGCAATAACGACGACATAACTAAAAAATTGTCATTTTTTAATTGCTTGCAAAAAAAAATGAAAACGAGGAAAAAAAGAAATATACTTTTAAAAAACGTATTTTTATTTCTATATAATCTATTATTAATCAAAATTGTATTTCTAAATTAAAATTACAAAATTTTAATAATTCAAAATATTTAAATTAATTTTTTGGAAAACTTTATTTTCTAAATTATGTTGTTGTAACGAATGAATAATATTCTTATTGGAGACTTAAAGAATATGAACTTTTAATACGAATGAATAACGTGCCGATTGACAAGACAGGGACACGGTAGTGCGGTATACTTCCTCGCCAATCGTCCCGGCTTCGCGAAGAACGCATGGATAGAGGTAGGGAGAAAAAAATGGGCCGTGTGGAACATATCCTGAGTGCGCAACCGGCCGACCTCTCCCAACTGAGATCGGTGCATTACATCAACGGTGCGCAACATCGTTACGATCTCCGGAGCTCCGGCGTGCTTTAGAATGCATAATTAATAACTCTACCTACTCACTTGCGATATACGTACGTCGACCAAGGCGTGAACGTACAAGGTGATACCCGCGAGCGTGTCGCCGATTCATATATTAACGATGCACGTGCCGTGCACTAACGACACTCTTAATCGGGATTTATTTCTTTTTCTTCCTTTTAGAGAATTTCGTTAATCTTAGAGACTCTATATAACAGAATCTGATCATGAGCATTTTTGTCAAAATCCTACGAAAGAAAAAGATTTATATAATTTCTCCTATGCCATATCTCCATAGTATATATATTTATTAACTTTAATTAAGATTGAGTAAGAAAGTATAAGTTAAAGTGAGAGAATATACTCTCTACGAGAAATTATGTATATCTTTCTTTCGTAAAAGAACAAAATCGCTTGTGGCCAGATTGATCATATAGGGTCTCTAGCTAATCTCATACTGACAAAAATATTTTGAATCGACAAAACGTATCAACAAGAAATGGTATTTTGAGAGCAATGATATTATAATTCTTTTTGATCTTACCAAAATGCCTGTTTGAAGTAAAATGATTACTTTAATCATTTTATTTCAAACATTTTTCTCAGTGCAGATGGCTATAATAATTCCTTTATCACAAGATCGCGATATTGCTCTCAGAATATTCTCGCTAATTAAAAGTGGTTGAAAATATAATAATATGTTTATAACTCGCAAATTAATATTGGCCTGACGCACATATATTGATCATTTTATTTAAAATTTCATAGCTAAAAGGTTCGTTTGATTGTCTATTAATTAAAATTTTAATTTCAATTTAATTTACTCTTTACCTTTTCCTAAGAATAAAAAATGGATAAAGAGTGAGTTAAACCGAGATTAATTTAATGTACGTTTGTAGAAATGGATATAAAAATCTTTGTTCAATTCTAAAGTTCTAAAGAGTGAAATTGCCTTGAAAATAAAAAGCTAGGAGAGATGAAAAATGATAAATCGGTTTAACAGTTTAACAAAAGAGTATAGCGAATCCTGGTCACGTCTCGTCATTTGAATAGAAAAATTTTATTCTAGTATCGTGCGTTTCTCGTGTGCGGCATGCTTTTATACGGGATCCGGTGTATAAACAACCAATCCTGTAGGAGGAGCATTACTGTGATTTCTGCCTAGCTGGATTACCAATGGAAATACCATTACGAGGTAGTCACCGTTGACAGTTAATGGTGTCAACGGCGCGCATTCGCCACCGGTTTGTCTTTACGGACCGCTTAAGGGAGCGCACGCGGTTGCGGAATGTTTCATCCGCGTGGAAAGGAAGCAAAGCCTATTCCCCTTTCGTTTCTTTCTCTCTTTCTCTCTCTCTCTCTCTCTCTCTCTCTCTCTCTCTCTCTCTTCAGTCGCAAAAAATACGAATTGAGCCTTCATTATAGTCTTTCATTAATGAAGACTACAAAATAGACCGCGATGAATGGCGTTCAAACGAACCGGTTATGATTATCAAAATACGGTAAACAAATTTTTTTTAAGTCTTCTCTAAAAATTTTGAAGTGAATCTCACTCTAAGGAATGAAATCTTACTCTTAAAAATTAAAAATTATTCTTTTCAAAGTTGGCTCAATTTTCATCCTTTGATTTTGCTATGTAAAAATTTAACTAGATATATATCCGAAAATAATTTGGTGTACTATCAAAATAATTATATAAGAAAATAATTTTGTTGTACTATTAAAATAATTGTAATGTAGGACGTTCAAGCTTGATTGATAAAATGTCAAAATTTTTTACAGCATTGCTCATCATACATGAATTTACTACGTAATTATTTTGACAGTCTAACAAAATTATTTTCAGATCTGTATTTAGATAAATTTTTAGATATTTCAACAAAATCATGTTTTCCATAAAGAATTTAAAGAGTTCTTTTAACAATGAGTACCTGAAATTTGAAGATGTTGAATTAGCGTTCACAATGGAGCTATAAATATCCAAATAATATGATCTTTCAATTATCCAAAACAATTGTTATCCGAGATTACTTAAATCCAGGTGCTCGAATTATCTGGATAATTCGAATCTTAGGTCTTTATTGATTATAATCATCTTTCCACTGATAATATTTCCATCGAAATTAGCCCTGAAAAATGTAGCAATTTAAGAGATGAATCTTAAAAATCAATTTAATGTTTCATAACATTTGTAATCGCAACTTAAATGAGAGACTCGACAGTTTTATTAGTATTCAAAAAGTCAAATCCGTGAATTTAGAGTCGAACTAGCAAATTGTAAGGCGTCTCTATTATTGGATTCTGTTCAATTACAATCGGCCTCTCGTCCGCAACTTTCGAAAAATCGCCGGCGACGGAATGGTCGCGCATAGATCGAATTCAAGGTGTGATTGCCGATCGATCGATCGGCCGTGCCGATTACGCCGCCTCTTTAGTTCTCCCACGGACTTTACCTTCTATGCCGTGTATCCAGCGCCTACACGCACGCACGCATGCACGCACGCACACGCTGGCTAATGCAAAAGTGACGTTGACGTCACGCGTCCGTACATGGCCTCACCGTGAAAACCGTGTGGGTGTCGCGCGTTATAAATTACTTCGTCTTGGACTTTTTCCCCTGTTACTCCATATCCTTCTTCCATTCCTGTCCCGATCGCCTCTGTAATCTTCAAATCTTCGAACGGAGAGAAAAAAAACTGCATTCGTAGATTCTGACTAACTCGATAAAAAACTTAGGAAAGACAAAGTGAATAAGTCAGAATTATTAAGAAGAAAAAGCCGAATAAGTCTAGAACGATAGTTTTTTATTAACATAAAGCGAATGTATTTTCGATCTGATGTCAAATCTAAAACTGTACAATAGCCTTAACTAAGGCTTAATAATATCTCAAATATCTTATGTCTTAATTTCATACAAAGATATGCCATTCGATGAAGCTTTAGATGATCTTCGTTCACTAAAGCTATTTATTGTATACATAATACATACGGTAGTTTAATTCGACTTTAACCCTTCGTGGTTAAACCCCCAACTGGGGTTATGAAGAAGGTGAGCAAACAAAATGAAAACGTTTCGGGTCATACCTATTTAACATTTAATGTTGAACAAGGATAGCTGATGAATCCGAGGCATCGGAGGCATCCGAACGACGTTTTCGAACGCAGCCATTGTAAAATCATACTCTTGAATGTTGAAAAAATGTATCCGAATCTTTTTCAGATTTTTTAGAGCCCAAAAACCCTTTGAAATCAAACATTAGTGAACCGGTTGGATTAAAAAAACAATAAGAAAAACATTGAACTACGGAGGATTAATATAACCTGGACATATATATATATATATATATATATACTTCTCACATGTTGCACTTTATTTACGAATTGTTAGTAGTGCGATAAGATCATTTTCTAGCAATCAAATTGAGATTGTCAACTGTCGATGCTATCACATCGAGATGTATTAATATCATTAAATTGATCCTTAATGATGCGTCGTCGAACACCATTGTCTATCTACACCTATAAGGTGCGCGTAGATGACTGTTACCTGCTGAATTACTGATTATCCTGCCCACGTTTGCCTATCTGGCGAAAGGTCTTGGTGCGCTTCAGCCGCTTTGCCGAACTCGGGTCGTTTATATTTTTTAAATATCCGTAACCGTCTCCGCTGAGCCCCTTTTGTGGTCGTGAAGCCTTACTAATTTCCACTTCTGTTAAAGAGTTAAATAGGTTAAAATGAAAGTTTAACACTAGGCTAACTGGTAGCGCATATTTGTGTTTGAACCTATATATGACTTAACTTAATACTAAGAAAGCAATAATTAAAATTTCGATTAATTCATATATAGGCGATAAATATAAATTGAATCAGTTTTTTTGCCTACATATTATCGTTAAAGATTCGAATGAATACTTAAGAAGAGATATTTAAAAATCTTTGAAGAGATATCTATAAATTTAAAAAGTTATAAATAAATTTGTCCGAGAAAACTTTTGTACTTTTGCTTCTTCAATTTAGAATGTATATTATATATAATTTTATTATTAAGTAAAAAAACATACTTAAGTCTACTGCCGGTGATACAGTAAATCCGAAAGATTTGGCGACTTTCGCCAGATCCAGAGTCTCTATATCAAAGACCTGCTTCAAATGATGTGAATCATACGCTCTAACGTAGTTCCTGAAAGTTTCCTTTGCCAACTGGTGTAAGAAGTAATTCTTCGATATTAACTTCTCAAGCTAAAATAGAAGATGTCCTATATAGCATCTTTATAGGTATTACTGAAATACGCAGATACTTTAGTTAAATCAAAATTTGTACATTTCAATTTCTCTACTAAATAATGCGATGAAATCATACATACACTCTCATGAATGTTTTAATATCTCTTCAGTTTAAACTCACAGTATTTAAATTACAATTCACATAAAAAATATAATAAATTTTAAAAAAGAGAAAATCACGTAATATATATATGTATTGCTTATACCTGTAATTGTATATCGGCAATTTTATTCCAAAAGAATTCATATTCGTTTATGGATACATGAGCCTTTTCGAGATAACAAAGGAAGCCAAGCTCCTTCGGTCGTAACATCAGCAATGCTATCTCCGCGAGCGGTTCGACCAACACGATGGATGTATTCCTAAAAGTCGTACAAATTCAATATTAAGAATCGATGTTCATTAATTAATATTTATTATTGAGAAAATTATCGTATTAATTTCTTTACTTCTCTTAATGGTAAGTAAAATAAATAATGAGATAATTATTACCTTGGGATCATACTGTATGATCCAGTCGACTTCAGGTATTGTATATCTAGACCTCTCGCGGTTACGTCGGTGCAAAGCAAAATTCTCGAAGAAGCGTTGCAAAATTGATAAAAGATCGTAGTTCTTTTTGTCTGTTTCTGCTTGCTCTAATAAAAGCATACTAAGTTCATGAAAGTATTGCGATTTCGAGTAGTATCGGAAAAAATCTAATAATATACGTGTATACTCATCACTGGTAAACCAATGTAGTTTAGAAGTTCATGGTGATATTTAACGGACATGCAAAAATTGAAGAAGACCATCATGTTTTTCTTCCTGTTTTTCTTTAAGAACATGAACAAAAGTAGAAATCTTTTCTCGCTCGGACACGCTTTTGTCACATCCAGTTTTAGCAACACCAACCAAATCTCTCCCTTTAAGAAGGGGTGGAATAGCTAATGCTTACATCAGTCATATTTATAAAATCCATATTCTCCATTGCCTTCCTTGTCATCTCGCTCAATATTGAGCAGCTTGTATCATCCATTATTTCAAAATCTACAGCTGTGTCAGGTGCTAAATAATAACAATAAATATAATGTTATTAGAAAGTGCAGAAATATCATTCAGTTACTAGCTTAATCATATCGGAAGTACATACGATTCTCAGAAATTGAGGACTGCTTAGCTACCTCCTCAGACTCATTTTTCTTGGATATTTTTAATTTCATCTTTTCTAAAAAAAAAAATGGATCACTATTAATAATTATATAATAAAACAGAAAATACACATGATTAATTTTGCAAATAGCGTTACAATTTTATCCCTAAAAAATTCACACCTTGTACGTTTAAAATAATTTAAAAAGTAAATTGTAGGAATAAGTTAGAAGAATTTATACAGACTTTTTGGAGGGCTATCCTTTGTATTTTGCTGACTAGTCTCACATATTTTTTCTGATCTGATTGCATTTGTATAACAAAAGTATTTTATTGAAGATAAATAATAATAGACACATTTACAAAAAGACAAAAGGAAATTGATATCGAGAGACGACTAGTTTTGCTACACAATTTAAATTTTCTTAAATACAAATTTATTATTTAAGCTGCGGTCCACTTGACGCTACAAACGCTTCGAAGCGTTTGTAGCGTCAAGTGGACCGCAGAAATGTTTCATGAGAGCTAACCTCAAAAATGAAAATAGTTATCTTTTTGCTCTTCCCGCCGTTTTAGCAACGTTAATTTCATTTTCTCACGGTTTTTAATTTTTCGTACCAGCACTTTCTTGGAAACTGACATTTTTTGAAATTAGAGAACAGTATCCTAAAGATACCAAAAATTATTTACTACAGTCTTTAGAACCCATCATTGAGCGCGTTCACGGTTTAAACGGGACAAAGCTGCACCCTGCTCGCCGAGCAATTGAATGTGATTGGTTGGATCTATCAGTCATCCAATCATGTTCATTTGTTTGGCGAGCAGGATAACCGCTTTGCTAATTTGAAGATTTGAACGTGCCCCAAATTCGTTAGATTCGTATACCCAGATAGCAAAGCGTGTCTCAGCAAAATCTCACAATTTGTGATTGTTTATGATGCTGACTATTTTTGCATATATATTTTTTTAAAGCAACTATGTGTTTTCTTTCTATTAATTGATTCATCTCATTATTCTGTTCATAGAAGTATTAAGATACGATTATCAAAAAATTGATAGCTTACAAGATATTTAATATTTTATGCGAACATGTGACAGAATAAAGTATAAAATATCTCGTAAACTATTGGTTTTTTTATATCACTGCCTTAATACCTTTATATCAAAATAATTAGAGGAATTATATTGTGTAAAAAAAAAAGCATACAATTCTATTTAAAAAAAGTGGAGGTTATCTTGAAATCTCAAAAAATGACCTTGAGAAAAATTTTTTGCTGATCATAATATGTGCCCCTTCGAATTAAATAACTTTCTCCTTTTAATATTTTTTGTATCATTAAAAACAACAGAGATATTCTAGATGGTCAAGTTAGAGGAAATATCCTGTATATTAAGTAATTAAGATTATATGTAGAATTTCGCAAATTCCTTAGATTTTCATGAAACGTTTATGCAACTTGCATTCTTGTTAACATAAAATATTTTTGTATATATTTACTAGCTTTTTGTAGCTTTCACGCACCCCACGCATGCACGCACACACACACAACATATTCCATATACTTATAAAATGTCTCGTATGAACCCAATTTTTTTATTTTATTTGTTTTTAAACCCTTTTTATTTGATTTTTTGTTTTACACATACATAATTTTTTAATTCTATATTCTTATACATAAAAACTCATAATTATAGTCTAATATATAGTACTACAATGTTCACAGACGATCAGTATTATGTTATTGTATGTGTAATGTATGCAATAATTTCGTGGAAATATTTAAATAACTTCCTGGTTAATAACAAAATTAGAATTAAGTATTTATGAATTAGAATTGATAAATTTCGTTCAGAAAACGGTTTAGTTATCATATTTGGACACGAAGACATGTAGTATACACATATGAATATATCCCATCATCATTCATTATAATCTATTATATATAATTATCTATTTCTATTATAATTTATCGCCATCTTTAATTCTTTTTTTTATGTTTTGTGTTTTAATTAACATAAACAGTTATGTATATATGAAACAAGTATTTTTTAGCATCATAGTATTATATATGTGTAAAGATGCATACATTTACATGAATTTAATTATGGAGTACAATTGTTACTCTATAATTATAAAATAGACAACAAAATGAGAACAAACGGAAGTTATATAAATATATAAAAAATTGCATAATTACGCAACTTATATGCCAACGCTGTTACTTGATTAATAATTAAGAACAATTTTTTAATTATAAAAGAATTAAGATACTTATGTGTATAATGTCTTACATATATAATATATATTATATTATATGTTATATTGTATAACACATATATAATGTATATATTATATGACATATGTTTATGCTTATATATCCATGATACTGATAATAACATAAAATTCATCATTTTTTTTCTTTTAAGACAAAATATATTTTAACATAGTCCTATACCGTTCATTCCTAAACCTTTTTTTTTCTTTTTGTTGTATTATATTTTTCCTTATCGTGCAATTGAAACATGATGTATAAATACGAAAAATTATCGATTATATTATTACTAATTAATAGAAACTATACTTCCTACAGCACAGAATTTGCAGTAATATCGCTGCAATATTGCTGCAACTTTTGTGCAACTTTGTGCTGTAGGGGTTAATTTATATATCAAGACAGGGCTCGGCATACAATGCACTTTTCGGCCGATTTTCAGCTTGGTTTCTCGTCCCTTACTTCATTAACCCGCGTGCATCAAGTTGAAAATCAACTGAAAAGTGCATCGCGTGACGAGCCCTGCATAAGAGAATCTATTCATAATTATTGCGCAAAAGAAATAAAATTAACTGTGGACATATCTCAACTATAAAGGGGTCTTCTAGAAAACCTTAAAATCATAAATATCTATCCTTAAACGAAATACATCGGTGATGCTCCCATCTTCATTGTAAAATTTCTCTGTTCCCTTTCTAAATCAGCCAAATTAAAGTTTGGGTTTCTGCAAACGGAAACAATGTCTTATAAATCGTAATCGTAATTAATATTCGATATTGTAATTGATTGCTTACCCCTGTAACAAGGCTCTTCCGCGAAAAGCTGCTAAATGAGCATAATACGTTGGTGCCGGATAGCTTACTGATCTTGTACAACGGGCATACATATGACAAAGAAAATAAGTCATTTCCTCAAGCTGATCTTCGTTAAATTTAGAATCGTTGCATATGCATCTGTATTTTGTAGGCCTCGCTGTACCCTGCATTTATAGTATAATTAACATTTACATATCAAATGAATTTTACTTGGTTGAAGAAACATGCGTTTGTATAGTTTGGAAATTTAATTATTTAATACATATATACTTTGAAGTATCTTGAAGTGAATTATTATAATTATTACGAGTTAATTATTCTTAATTGCTATTAATCATTGTAAAATTTTGTATGTTGATATTTGTTTATAAAATAAGACATTTATAATTATACAGAATGACCGCCAAATATTTCGTGCGGTTATAAAATTTTACGTATTCGTACGTATAAAAAAATACGTGTCTCTTAGATTTTCGTGTTTAACAACATATTTCATGGAGAATCAAATCGGTTCCGGACAGTTGTGAAACTTCCCTTGTAAATCGAAAAAGTCCTTTACTATTTTGCAATTCTCACAATAGTTAACAAGATGTTAATTACTAAAAATTGCCGAATATTGATATTCAATAATTTTTTACTCAAGTACTATCAATTTTACAGAAAAACTTCGAAAGACAAAAACTGTTTATTTTCTTTTCATAGAGCTCCAAGAATTTTTTCAGAATTTTTTATCAACTTTTCAGTACTGCATTTTCCTATTGGCAACTATTTTCATCAACATAAGAAAATGCGATATTAAAAAATTCTAAAAAAATTCTCAGAACTCTGAGAAAAAAAAAAAACAATTTTGTCTCTTTTACTATTTTTCTGTAAAGTTAATAATACATGAATAAAAAATTATTAAAAACCAATATATTCAGCGATTTTTAGTAATTAATATCTTGTTAACTATTGCGAAAATTGCAAAATGTTAGAGAACTTTTTGACTTAGTTTAGTCCGTTCTACCTACGCATGAAATATTTGGTTATTATTCTGAGTCACCCTGTATAAACGTATTAAAAAAATAAATCAATGATTTTACCTGAATACTCGCATGTGATACGAGATAAAAATCGATATGATCTGGATGCGTAATAGTTGTATCGACAATTGTACCCGCTCTCACGTTACCTTTTTTGTCATCTGTTTCATATGGATTTGTGGGAAAGAGACGCACATGATGTCTCTTTTGAACAACCATGCAGGTAACTTCAATATTACCTTTATTGAATGTCTTAATTGCATTTTTAATGGCGGTTATTTCATAAAACATAACTTGCGGAAGTTGTCCCTCGCTAACTCCGTCTCTAGATTTTGATATAAATATGGAATTAATGTGCACTAATAAATTTCTTATTTATTCTTAACTGAATATTCATAACTGTTTATACCTATATAATAGTTTTTCTCTTTATGTATGTATAAAAAGAATTTATTTTTAATAATTTATATAATATTGTACATTGCCAATACATACCGGTAATAGACGAGTCTCCGCGGTGGAGACTTTGTTTCGTGATAATAAATATTAAGTTGTGATAATATTATTGCTTCAAGATCTAAAATCATTTCTTCTTTAGGTGGTTGAAGCCTGAGTGTAACATTATACTGGAAAGCTGAATTATTTCTACTTGCAGCAACCTAAATTAATGACATTTCTTATTAATATTAAATTAATATTCATATAAAAGAAAAGCTGCGTTTAATAATTATACAAACCGCCGCTATAGATGGTATACTTTTAGAATCGGGGGCTGGATGAGTTACATCGGCACCAACAAGCATACAAGGATAGTTGCTTAAACATGATGGCCTAAGAGGAAACAAAAAACGAAAAAAGAAAACGGAGATTTTATTCGAGATTGCAAGCATTTTTATAAAACAAAGTATAAGTATTATTCACTCACATTTTATCCAATATATGATTGATGCCATTTAGTTTTGAGTTTATTTTTTGTAGAAGGTTTTTTATTGTAGCAGCATTACATGATCTCAGAGTTTTACATTTTATACACTGTGTCAAAACACCTATGTCCATTTCGGTAATTTTTTTTACGTTTCCTAAGACAATGATAAGTATCATTAGATTGATTTATATTCAGAATAAGTATAATGAAAAGAATCACATGTACTCACCATATGTTACGTCTGTATAATCTGGTATGACAACTATTATCAATTGTAATTTCTTATATTGATTGAAGTAATTTGTGATACCTCTTAAATCATTTGTTTCCAATCTTTTAAATGGACGTTCAGGCATACCAATGTTCATACCAACGGCTCTTGCTAAAAAGATGAATTTAATATAACAACAAAATGTAATATAAACACAACTATATAACATAATTCGAAATTGCAATTTTTTATTAACATCTAAATTCACAATTGCAAATTATGCATAATTTTTTTATTAACAATTAGATGTATTATATTTTTTGGAAACTTTTAAAAAATATGATATATATATATAATACAGAATACATTTTAAAATTATAACTTTATTTTTCACATATACTTAACCATTTGCTCGTAACTTGTCTACAAAGTTTCTTATGTCATTATCATCAATTTTTTCTTTTCTTTTTTCTAAAATAAGAATAGTCCATGAGTTAGACCCCAAACTTTTGGCTCGATTAAATTGTTGCAAACGCTATACTCCTTTTTCTACTGTCGTCGTTGAGGTAACATATTTTCACAATTGCAAATTATGCATAATTTTTTTATTAACAATTAAATGTATTATACTTTTTGGAAACTTTTAAAAAATGTGATATACAGGATGTCCCATAATTCATCTGAAAACGAGGTAGGTAGAGCGGATTAAACTGAGTCGAAAAAGCCTCTACTATGTAATTTTCGCAACAGTTAACAAGATATTAATTATTAAAAATTGCCGAATATTGATCTTCAATAATTTTTTTCTCAAATACTATCAATTTTACAAAAAAAAACTGTAAGAGACAAAAATAGTTTAAAATTGTTCTTTTTCTCATAGAACTCTGAGAATTTTTTCAGAACTTCATGAGAAGAAAATAAACAATTTTTGTATCTTACAGTTTTTCTGTAAAGTTGATATTTGAGAAAAAAATTATTGAAGATCAATACTCGGCCATTTTTAGTAATTAATATCTTGTTAATTATTGCAAAAATTGCAAAATGGTAGAGGACTTTTCGACTCAGTTTAGTCCGCTCTACCTGCCCACGAGCATTGTCAGGTGAATTACGGGACACCCTGTATATGTAATACAGAATAAATTTTAAAATTATAACTTTATTTTTCATATACTTAACCGTTGCTTTGTAAATCTTTCATAAACATTTGTAAGTCATCATCAAGTACTCTATTAGCTAAAATAAGAATAGTCCACGAGTTCAAACTTTTGGCTTGATTAAACTGTTGCAAACGCCATACTCCTTTTTCTACTGTCGTCGTTGAGTTAGCATATTTCAATCCTGGAGGAGGCAAAACTCTGGCATCAACTGTTTTCATTTGTGAACTCACAGATAGATGGAATTCTTTTTCCATGACAGAACTACGGTTTATTTCCAGTTTCCTGAACTACAGACATATAACATAATAAACGTAACGATATAATATGTTCAATCTAACAATGTAAATGTCTTTTACCGCTTCTTCTATATTCCGTTTACGGAGAGGAGCAGCCATTGCTGCTTTTTTAATCATGTTTGTGGTTTGATTTTCATCTAGCTTTTTATTAATGGCCTGGCCACCCACAATGGTGCATAACTATAAGTGTTTGAAGAAATTTTTTAAATTTATTTTACATTATCACTTATCTGTAGCAAATATAAAACAGCTTACGTACTTCGAGAGGCACCAAGACTTTTCCTCCGTTGGAAGTCTTGCCCACATGAAGAGTAGGCAAATCAGTCCTCTTTATGTTATATCTCTTCATTTCCCGAAAATATCTTGTTATTGTGTAAGTTACATCGGATGATGTAAATGTATGTGAGTCACAACTATCGGACCACAAATCGAGTACACGGTATGTACGTTTCGAAATTGGTGAGTTAGGTATTGCGTAAGTCACTTTTAAGCCCTTCAAAAAACCTAGTATCTTGTTTTTATACTTCATTACATCGTTATAAGAAAGGTTTTCTTCGCTGACTTTTGTAACCTCAGCTATGTATTCAAGTACTCTTAAATTTATGGTAAATCCTTTATGAGCAACTAAATAAAACATAAGAAATAATGTATAGAGATTATAGATAAAGATATTGACTACGTTTACACCGCATTTAGGGCGCGACCTATACAATAGATGTCTTTGTTTATCCTGTAGGTTAAACAAAGACACCTATCGTATAGGTCGCGGACTAAGCGTACGGTGTAAACGTAGCCATTCGTTGTGTAGTTTTCAACTTAAAAATTATTAAAAGCTTCATAAAAGTATTGTTTATAATTGAAATGATAAAAAATCATATCAATTAACATGGATGTCTTACCATCTACATTTAGATACGGTTGCCACCCAAGTACACCAGAGAGAAATCCACCGTGTGCTAGAGTTAAGCCACCACCTAGTGGCTCGATCTTATCTATATTCCAGTAAAGTGATCTTCCAACCTGTAGTAACATATTTTATATCATGCATTTTATATATATATATATTATACTACATTTATATTAACTTCCTCTAATTAGATTATAACTTTTTATAAAGTATATAAATAGATATATTTTCAAAAAGTTTATGTTCTCAAATTAATATCCAAAATTACTTCATTTAAATAAATTTAAATAAATGCGATTTATTTAAAAAAATCGATGTATTATTTATAACTATATAAAACTTATTAATGCTAAAATAATTTATTGCTAACAAATTTTAATCATTATAACATTACTAGAGAAGAAAATGGTATTATGGCCCCTTACTTACATATTACACAATAATTTGGTTAACAATATTAAACCTAAAATTTAATGATTATATTCAAGTACTGCTCAATTGATTCTAAACTCAAAGAGTTATTCTATTTCTTTTTACCAATCACTACATCTTAGAAAGAGAGAGAGTTGACCGCCCTTATGTTTCTTCTTTCTTATTCTTATTGACTACATTTGATATACTATATATTTAGATATGGATAATGCAGTCCATATCTAAATATTATATATAGTATAACAAATATAGTCAACAAAAATAAGAAAGAGGGAACTCTATATCTTCAACGCCACATTAACAAAACGCCATGCTATTATTTAACTTTGCATAACTCGAAATATATACAGTCAATAAAATGTTAAATAACAAATAACACATTCTCTCTCTCTCTCTCTCTCTCTCTCTCTCTCTCTTTCTCAAATATACTTATATTAGTATGATAATACGCTCGTTTAAAAAAAATGAGGAAGTATTGTATAATTAAATACTGAATTGTATCTTAAAAATGTTTTGCAATGTTTAAATGTAAAAATATGTTATAATAAATGCCAGCTATTAGCATCTTACCACCACTGTTTAACAGCGGCTTCTAAACAAACGATTCCATAAGTAATTACTAAAATTCGCCACCTAATAGTGGAAACATTAAGAGGGGCCAAATACCACCTTCTCTATTAATTGCTTACATTAATAAACCTCGATTCCGGTGCATGACGCATGATTAGATCCAAGACTTGTATAGCGGTTTGATCTTTATTTCCTGCAAGACCAGGTTTCAAATTTTTTATCCAGCTAAGATCAATATAAGCCACTTTCTTTAAGGTAATTTTATATTGTTTTCTTTGTCCTATCTCATTTAAGAACCAGAAAACATCCTGCATCTATATAGAATAATGAAAACAATTAATGTTATGAAAAATTCTTTCTCTTTGTTTTGTTCTCGAAATATTTTAATCAAACAATATTATAAAATTTGATCCATGATAAATTGTGTTATAATTAATGTATGTATTGCTTACATAATCAGGGAAAGGAAGATCATTTGCGCTATATGCATTTTTGTTCCCATCATAAGCTGGAAATCTCTTGTTAAAATGTTTATTTCTACATTGTTCAAAAATATCTCTACATAAAATCTTAGGAAGTCTGGTTTCTCTCTTGATTTCTGTTTTTTTGCTGGGCTTTTCTTCGAAAGGACGAATATCAATATCATAATGAACTGCGTTGGTTACGAATTTATCGTTGAATAAAATTTGATACATATTCGTAAACACAGTAATGTTTTTCCCTATTTTTCCAGCACATAGAGGATCTTTTCTCTTTGGTATCATGTCATGATATAATTTCAATTGTTCAGATGACATTTTTATCTTTTCAGTCTTTGCTTTGTGGAATGGATCTGTGAGAGCAAGTTCAGATATCTGAAAAAAAAAAATTTTTAACTAAATAAATTCAGAATGCAATATATATTCGTAAGATATTTGCAATAGATATTTTATTAAACACATGCGTGCATAATTATATTTAAAAATAATATATGTATTATATATATAATGTATATAACATAATATATAATCATACATCAAGAGATGTAGTACTTGTTGATGGCTGCTGTCGGTGCACACCACCAATTGCCTGTACTTGTCGATGATCACCAGCAGCATCAGTATCAACTACAAAAAATAAAAATGTGTATATCTATATATACATAACTATGATAAGATCGGTAGATAGATCTTTTTAAACCCTATAACTTTTATTTGAAATAGTTTTCTCTATAAAATTTATATTTTTTTAGATACTTCAGGATTCCTGTATTTTTTCCTCATCCATGCGTGTGTGTGCGTGCGCGCGCGCGTGTGTGTACAAATATGTATGCATGCGCATACATATGCCTAGTGTCCTACTTTAAGAAAAAACTTATGTAAAAATATGTAAAAATTATACAAAACATGTTTAATTTGAGACAGTTTTTGGATATTTTCATTTTAGATAAATTAATTTTAAAAAATGAAGAAAATTCCTCTTTTAAATAAAACTAATTTTTTGTTCATGATTCAATTTTCCTAATCATTTTACATAAAAAAAAACATTGAAATGAGATAAATAAAAAATTAATACCTGATCAGATATTTTGTATTTAATTCTGATATATTACCCTAATATGAATATAAACCATCTTATATGTTTATATAAAGTATTTGCTTTCCAATAACATTGTCAAAATATTTTTATACATGAGATAAAAAAATTAATTATTCTTTTTGTATAAGTAATTAATAAAAGTACATTAACGTATGAAAAAAAGAACAATTCTAGTTTATAAAAAATTATATAGCTATGAACTTTTTTACATAAATTTTTTATATAAAACATTCAAAAATATACTAAATTTAGTAACTGTTGCTGTTTCTGACTAAATTGCTATTAGAGAATGTTTACTTAAAGCTTTTTGCTGCTGTTGAGGTAAAGTTGGTGCTCTGTATTGCTGCTGTTGTTCCCAAGCTGTTTGTCGTTGTGGACCCCATGCTGGTTGTTGTTGTTGTTGTTGTGGTAGCGATTGACCTCGTGATATTGCTCCTTGTAATTGATGTTGTTGTGGCAGACTCTGTGGTACTTGTTGTGAGCGGCCCCATGCTCCTTGTAATTGTTGTTGTTGTGGTTGGCTCTGAGGTACTTGTTGTCGTGAGTGGCTCCAAGCTCCTTGTGGTTGGCCCTGTGGTACTTGTTGTGAACGGCCCCATGCTCCTTGTAATTGTTGTTGTTGTGGTTGGCCCTGTGGTACTTGTTGTTGTGGCTGACCCCATGTTTCTTGTGGTTGTTGTTGTGGCTGACTCCATGCTACTTGTGGTTGTTGTTGTGGCTGGCTTTGTGGTATTTGTTGTCGTGGGCGGCTCCATACTCCTTGTGGTTGTTGTTGTGGTTGGCTTTGTAGTAATTGTTGTTGTGGTTGGCTTTGTGGTATTTGTTGTTGTGGGTGGCTCCATGCTCCTTGTGGTTGTTGTTGTGGCTGGTCTGGAATTACTTGTTGCTGCTTTTTTGGATCTTTGAAAGTCTTTTGTTTTTTTGATGAATCAGGTAATGCTTCTGGTGAGGTTTGTTCCCATTTCTCTTGTTGTTGCTGCAAGGACTCTTGTGATTTCTTGTCGGAAGTCTGTTTTGAGGTTGACGCAACTGCTTCCTGTTCCTTCTTTCCTATAATTTGTAGTATTCTTTATTAAATAAATATCTCTTAGGTTCGATTGCACCAATGTTACTTTGATTTTAAACGAGGTTTAAAATTCTTTCTATCTCGCCCTCTCTTTCGGCTTTGAATAGAGAAAGTGAGTTTTAAGCCTTGCTTAAAGTCAAAGTAACGTTGGTGTAATCGGGCTTTAAAGAATAGGTATAAATCAAGTTTTAAGAAATTGTAATATATACATGCCATCCTATTGTAGATACACATCTCATTTACATACTTGAAGCTTTCAGCTAATTTAATTTCAGAGTTGTCCAGGGCCCCTATTCTGTAACTGTTTTACACGCCTACCGACAGTTGTCGGTGTCGCTGTGCAGATATTTTATATGGTAAAAAAGCTGCGCAACGACACCGATAACTGTGTAGGCATGTAAAACAGTTACAGAATAGGGGCCCTGGATATCTATCATGGAACATGTTGGAATGAATTCTGATCGGAATTATTCCGTTTTCCCTAGATAGATACTATAGAAATCTAGGATAGATTACACAGGTCTACAAAAAAGGGGGTCTTGGATGTTGTCGGGAAG